TATGTTGGTCTCCTTCCCTGGTGAACTGCTGATGAACATGTTGAAAATGTTGATTTTACCTTTGATTATTTCTAGTTTAATATCAGGTCAGTTGATTGATGTTATGCACAGCAGCTTGACACAGTTGTACATTAATTATTCTACAATATTTTCAAAATGGTTCATATAAAATAAATCTTTGTTTATTTCTTTAATAGCAGTATGCCTACAGTATGTTTATGGATATTTTTAACAAAAAAGATTTAAACAAAATACAAACAAATGAAATCAATTATATACCAAAGATGTAATATGTATGAATCACACATTAAAGGGATAATAACTCTTCGTTTCGACCAAAAAATGAATTTTCCTGGAGTAAATAACAATTTTCCCATACTAACCAAGGGTTAATGAATCCATTTTTACATTCAAAGTTAGTCCCTGTTTTTTTCTAAAAAGTTTGGTTTTTTGTTAAAATCTTTTAAGAGATTTTAACAGAGTATAGCCATCAATGGAGGTCACATGGTCTAAAGACAAGTCTAGATATCAGATAGCTATAACTGCTGTTTTTGTGGTAAAACAGAATATATTATATTTCTATGAGTTATTCACAATGTTTTTATTGTGAAATATAGATCTCATAGGAAGAGTTATTATCCCTTTAAGATTTGAGTATATGTAATAATAAGTAAATTTAAGCAAATCTGTACCATACTCAAGTTAACACATGATTAGGTTAGTTAAATATATATAATTTTTATTCCATAATCAAGGGTTGGCTCAACTGGATGCCAAGGCCAGTGGTAAACTGGGAGGCCGTGCTATGGTCTACTATTTCACCACCACCGTGATTGCATCCATCATTGGTATTGTGTTAGTTGTGACCATTCACCCCGGAGACCCCTCCATACGTGCTGGCCTTGGGTCTGGCACAACCGAAAACAAGGTGTCCACACTGGATGCATTCCTGGATATATTTAGGTGTGAATGAAATAAAACCCACTTGGAAATGTTTCTGTGATCTTAAGATAATCGTTCTTCATGAAAGGGGAAAAATTATATTAGTGGAAAAATGTCCCAATGAATGGGTTATCAGTTGCTTTTCCAACAAGTGAAAAGGTAACAGTTCAAGGAAATTTTAAAGAATATGGTTGTATGAAAATGTACTTCTTTTGGGCATGTATCTGGCTTTTAAATCCCATTTGTACTGAAAGAGAAGCAGACGCTTCATAATTATTATACCATCTTTGGAAGTGGAATGCCACATATATTCTATAAATATTGTGTTGAAAAAAACTTGTTAATAGTTTTTCAAAACTTACTTAGCTTAAACAACTATTTTGTTTTTATTTACAGGAATTTGTTGCCTGAAAATCTCGTAGTGGCATGTTTTTATAGTGTTTCTACCTACTATGTAAAAGCCCCTCCTTTGGTAGAGAAAGTGGACCCAAGCATGCCTCCTGACGCAAATGTCACTGAGAACGCCACAGAAGTTGTCTTATCTATTGTTGATCAGTTAGATGCTGATTATAATATTTCAATAGACAATATGACAGCAAATGAAACAGAAGAACCAGAGAAAGAGAAATACGTAAGAGAACTGAGATACGGAGGAAGTACAAATGTATTAGGTATAGAACTTTGTCAATTTTTTTAAAGCTCATTTTATCTTGGTGAAATCTATAATTTGGTGGACGTGTTATTTTAATAACTGCCTGCTTCAATGTGCTCTTACTTTGCACTGATTTGTGATGTATGTTAACGATTAAGATGATTTAAAAAAATTAGTGAATAGTTTTATAACAAGTATGATATCTTTTGGTATATTCTCTAGGTATATGTGTAGGTAATTGCTCAGTGAGGTACATATATGAATGTGAATACCATGTTATATTAATTTGAAACTAATTGCATTTTTCTCATGATGTGATTGTGTCTTCTTTTTTTTCCAGGTCTAATTATTTTCTGCATTGCATTTGGTGTGATCCTTAGTTCAATGCATGAAAGGGCCAGAGTCATGACAGACTTTTTCTTCATTCTGAATGAAGTGGTGATGACAATGGTTGGCATTATCATGTGGTAAGATATCTGGATGTTTAGTTGTTTTCAATTTCAATATAACCATAAATTTTAAATCTGACTCTGGTGATGGTATCTGGTTTTATTTGCCTTTTCTAAGGTAAATGGTGCTAAGTTTCATGATATTTCAGATAAAACTGGAATGCATTGAGAAGTAAGAAGGCAAGTTTAACAGTTCCTAGTATAATAATTAAAAAAAAGCTCTTACTGACTAAATTTTAAAGAAAAATTTCCAAGATTGATCTATCAAATAATACAATGAATTTTCAGGTATGCTCCATTTGGTATAATGTGTTTAATTGCTGGTAAACTGATGGAAATTGATGACATGGCCAAAACAATCAAGCAGCTTGGAGTGTACATGGTCACTGTAATTGTGGGTCTTATCATTCATGGCGTTGGTGTACTGCCACTCATTTACTTCGTCATAACAAGAAAGAACCCTTTCACATTTGCAAAGAACATGCTGCAGGCTTGGCTGACAGCTTTGGGAACTGCTTCAAGGTAATGACAAATGACATGGTATGATTTGTGTTGATATATGAGTTTTTTTTTATCTGCCAGCAGATCATTTTGAAACTTTCAGTAACACCACCAAATGATTCTTTAAATCTGTAGATATATTGTTAGGATGGTTTTATTATATAATCAATAATCACTGTGAAAGAATGAAATGTGAAAAAATAATATAACGTATGTAAATATTCAGAAGTGACAACTATGAACTGTATTGATTGTGTTGTGACGATGAAAGTCTGTTTTTGTATTAAATAGTGTGTATGTGTGCACATTATTTATTTATTTATTTATTTATTTATTTATTTATTTATTTCAGTGCTGCCACCATCCCCGTCACCTTCAAGTGTCTGGAGGAACTGAATGGTATTGACAGGCGAGTGACCAGGTTTGTGATCCCAGTGGGAGCCACAGCCAACATGGACGGCACAGCTCTGTATGAGGCTGTGGCCACACTGTTCATTGCACAAATGAATGGAGTGAATCTGGATGTTGGAGAAATAATTACTGTTAGGTAAAGACTTTGTGGCTGTAGTTAAGTGTGTTGAGTGGGGTATCTTGACCTGCACTGCGTGTATGTGTTTATGCATGCTTACTTGCGTGCGTGAGGGAGTGATTGTTTGATAAAAACAAAAAAAATGATAAAATTGTTCTGTTCAAAACTGTTACCTGATAAAAACATGTTAGACATCAACATTTGCTATAATATACTAGCTGAAAGTCATACGAGACATATAAACAGTGAATCCAAATTATGAATATGCAGGTAAAGTTTTGGTTTATTACATCCAGCAGAAGTTTTATGATTTGGTTAAGAATGTGCATGTCTATAGTCCTTATGTTTGTAGATAGTGTGTTTCCTTGAATAGGCTGTAGTACAAGTAAGTATTTTGTATTCTGTTAATGTTTTAGTCTAACTGCCACCCTGACCAGTATTGGGGCAGCTAGTGTGCCCAGTGCGTCATTGGTCACCATGATCCTGATCCTGACAGCTGTGGGACTGCCTGTGAAAGACATCAGCTTGATTGTCATGGTGGATTGGTTGCTGTAAGTATTTTTAAACTGAATTTGTAAGTGTAACTTCAGTGGAAAGTAGTTGGATTATTTGTGTTGAATTTAAGTTTTATGTGATTTATTACAGCATTGTACAACTGAATTTTAATGATGCCATATTTGAAACAAAAATTTTGATAAATTGTAAAAGACACTGAAAAACTGAAAACATGCACAATGAGGGTTATTTGAGTAAAATATATATATAATTTTAAAAATTTGGAAATTAGGAAATATTTTTATCCTTCAATTGATTTAATAAAGAATATTTTTATTATTTAATGATAGTGTCAGCAATGTAAAGAAGAGGGGATATTATGATAAATCATACTTCTCTCTTTAAAATTGGGTTTATATATGTATTTATGTATTTGTTTATTTATTAGGGACCGTTTGCGAACCTCCATCAATGTTCTGGGAGATGCATTTGGTGCTGGTATTGTGGCCCATCTCTCTCGCCATGAACTGGCTGCTCAAGATGCAGAACTTGCAGCAGAGGAGGCAGCCAAGAATGGAATTGAAGAACGTCGACCAAGCAAAGCATCCTTAAATGACAGGGGTACTAATGGTTTATATCCAGAATTGAATAAAGAATCTGAAACCCCCATGTAGAGTTCCAATGTTGCCTGCCAGTATTTGGTAATCAGTTGTTAATCATAGATTAATGTTGTGGTGTACTACTAATCGATTGATTAAGAGATGACTTTGCCTGGGCAAGTTAGCATTTGTCACCTGTCAACCATGAAGTTGTTCCAAAACTTTCTTAGAACTAGCTTTGCCTACTTTGATAGTTGCCTGGGATGTGTTGTAAGTACCTGAAGTAATATAGACGTTTCAGTATTGTCATTTTTTTTTTATTTTTGAAATGCCCCTCAGTTCCAAAATTTCATTGCATTTCAGCAAAAACTCCTCTATGGCATTACTGTTTAGACTTTAGAATATATCATGCAATTGGTGACTTGTTTATTTTCCCAGATGCATGCTTTCCATGTGTTTTTTACTTGTATATTATGTAGTGTCCGTCTTTGCCATAGCTTTTGATGTACATCAGACTCATTTTGATTTTTATGACAAATGCTTTGTGAAATTACTATAAAAACTTGGTGCTTTACTGGGCTTGCTAGTAAAAGTTTTTTTTTTCAAGCAAATAGATGTAAAATGTGTACCAAAGCAAAATTTTGATTCAGATAAGAGATAAGTCAACACATATTTTTCATTTTTCTCAGTTTTAGCAACTATTCAGTTTGCATTTGGTGAAATGTAAATGTGCTGGTATGAGCCTAGCTATATATTGGATTTAGTATCTCATTTTGAAGCATAATAGCATAATTAAAAGCAGCACTGCACACGAAGCACTTTAAATGTAAATGTAGTATTAATATTTTATATTATTATTTTGACTGTATTATTATTTTTGCATGCAGCTGATGGGGATGTAGGTAAGGCTATTATTGTACATGCACCACCGGATGATGAAGATAAGGGGAAGGAAGGAATGAAATGGGTGTAGCACAGTTATATACAAAATTTTTAGATTGGAAAGGATTGTGAATTTGCTGTCAATACCTAACATTACTATAATCAACAAGTGGAAAAATTTTTATGCTTGATTATGGTAACCCACAGTCAACAGGTATAGATAGACAAAACAAATCTCCATATTGACAGAGATCAAGTGAAAAAGTCACATAAGATACGCTTACTAGTCTGTTTGCAAAAACTTACACAGCACATTTGACGATAAAAGTATGATTGAGAGAGATATCTTTTCCTTTATTGAAAATGCAAAATTTCAAATTTAATGGTGAACCAGAATTCTTACCCGCAAAGTGATTTTTTTTTAAAAATGCTAAAGTATGGTTATGTTAGAAGTTATAAGATTGCCAGTATTTGTACTACAGTTCAGGGTTCCAATGAGCATAATCTCACTGCTCTTCCTCAAAGCCATACACTCAAGTACATAATTTTGTTATCAAGGTGTAATTGTTTATTATGCAATTTATGGTATATTGCTGTTTATATCATTGTAATTATTTTTTGGTGTATGTGCATCTTTAAAGAGTTATTTGCACTTTTCCAAAGTCTTATGATGGTTGTTCTGTATAAAATCACTTGAATTAAAGCATGAGCATGGTGAAACACCTGTGACAAGGATGAACTTCATATAGATATATCATGTATTTTACTGTCACATTGCAAGCCTTCTTTAATTATTCAAGCTTTAAGTACCAGCAACCTGCAGTTTCATTTCTGAATTAATATATCAGTGATTGTTTGATGTATTTGACACTTTCGTCATAATGGGTATTGCATTTATAAAAAAAAAATTGCACAAAAACATTGTATAAATAGTATAATATTCTTATTATAACTACAAATTATTTTCTAATGTACAGACTTTATTTACTATCAATAGGTAATATGCACAGTGAGACTGAAACAGACAAATTATAACACCTGGCCATGAGTGAGAGGATTACCTTTGCAGTATACAGTATTGCCATAGCAATTTGAAGGTTGCTGATATAGTATGGTGAGATAAAAGGTACCTTGTACAACTTAAAACCTAATATATATGGGGACATAGCTTTGTGAGTTATACAATGGTACAAATAAGTGAACTCATTCAAAACTAGGAAGAATTTTTAGTTACTCAGTGTTGTGTTTCTGTGGTACTGCCAGGTCTTGTGAAGAGAGAGATATTTGATGTGACTTACTAAGAAAGAGATTTGGTAGGCTTTGGGTTACATATACTGTATAATAAGCTCAGTTGATATACCATGGATTTGTCTTTGAACTGCATTTTTTATACTGGTATTCCAGTGTACATTACCAATACTTAAAAAAAATTCAGTCAAACTGTGCCTATATTGACAGAAAACTATATATATAAACTCAATGTACACAGAACTTAACTTCATCAAGGGTAAAAGTTATTATGACTATTATGTATGAAATTATTCTCAATTCCCTATTTGGTGATTAAGTATTTAGCAATTTGAATTATGCCTTTTAAGCTTATATGTAATATTCTCAGTATACAGACCTTTTTTTAGAGATTTTTCTTTAATTATTTGAGTACTTTTTCAATAGATTTTTTTGTTACCACCTTTTATTCATTTAAATCCTTTCATAGTATTTCTTGCAATACAACTGAATTGATAAGGAAGGCGATACTTAGAGAAACCAAGATCATAATTGACATTGAATTAAAAAAAAAAGATTTAATAGGTCTTAAATGAATTGATAAAAATGACCCTCTTCTTTGGGTTAGGAGATTGAGCCTTTGCTCTTCCCAGTTGTAAATAACATATCGATATCTTATGCAGTGCACTTGCATTTTACACATGAATGTTCAAAAATTGTATTGAAGCCAGTCAGTCTACCCATATTATATTATGATATAATATATTAATATTATGCACAAAATATTTACATTAAGTGGAATGTGCCAGTGTGTTCCAGTTATAAGCAGTAGATACTTGTGCTACATGTGCCACCTCTGTCGTGTCTGTGTTTGTACAGATAGCACACACTTGTAGAAACTGAAACCTTACAACACAAAGAGGCCACAGATATACACATGCGCCCAGGTGTAAACTTCAGAGAAAAGGGGATATAAACAATTTTAGTACCCTGAGTTTCAAATTTTACTGGTAAATTTTGTCAATGGCAATCATCCAATATAGCCCAAAGTATGGCAACTTAGTGTTTAATCAAGCGAGGTCTTGCAGAATTGCAAATAGTGGAGCAAGAAATAATGGCAAACCAGCAAGTGAGGTGCAACAATGAATGAAAGCTGGTAGAATTTATCCACAGGTATTTTTCTGGTTGTTTTTTAAGTTCTGTGAAATGACAGTATTTTTTTATGTATTATAATGTTTTACATGTTACTCCTGTATTGCTTCCTAAGGTGACATTCCTGCCACACATGGTTTCAACCTTCTTGCTAGAAGAAAGTTTATCCCACCTCACTCAGATTAATGCACATTTTCTAGTCTAATATGACAAAACACAGTGCTGGCAACCTTCATTTTAGGCTGTATTGGATGATTTCCACTGGCAGGAACTGTTCTAATTGAAGTGTATAAGTGCATGAGATAGAACATATTAGACTATGAAACCCAGGGCGGTACTTATTGGCATCAGTTGGATTGCTTTTTCCACTCAGAGATAGTGGGTATTTTTAGCAAAACAAAAGAAAACTACTCTCTTCTTTGATAAAATTTTTTCAGGTTATATTTCACGTGATTCTAAAAACATCTCTATTGCCTAATTTTATACCACAAAAAATATGCAGGTTTGTCTGGTGTTTATGCTTAGAGATTGATTTGTGTTCAGGTTTACCTAGAATCCAAGGTTATTTAACCTTGAATCTGCTGTTAATATTGCATGTTGTAGAATGGAATAAAGACTGTATTATAGTGGAATATTTAATGTGTTGTGCAATATACAGTATTGTGTTATTTTAGTGTTGCACAGAGTTGTGATTACATTTTGGCTTTCAAAAGTAACAATCCCCTATATAATCTTTTTTTATATTTCCTGATCCATTTATTCATAAAATGAATGATATTTTGAGTTCCTACAGAAATAGACATTCAGGATGTCAGTTTTGACAACTTTTCAAAACCTTGTAGCATTCTTGGGAAAATGTATTAGTAAATTGGACAGTGAAAAAGCTGTAGGTTTCAAGGCCATCCATCGTATTTTAAAACACCAGGTAATAATATGTTTAAAGAATATGACAATTTTTCATTTAGAATTTAGATTTGTCAAAAAGATTTTACGTGGTGATGACACTGAGCTCTACAAATTCAATTTCAGAAGCATATCACAATGGAATATATATGATCATTGTCCAAGATATGATCCTATTTCATCTTGCCTTTCTTGCAATCCTTGGCTATTTTTATAAAACAGTCTGCTAGTGTGCTACAAAGCTGGTGCATTTTGCAAAACAAAAAAAGTTAACTGCGGTGTTTATAGTCTTATTTGGCAGAAATACTTCCATCTTACTAAGTATAGACTTGTATACCCCAAGTAAATGTACTTTAATCGCGTTATTAAATGGAAAAATACACTGTCAACCGCAGTTATCAAGTTTATCAAGATAAATATTAATATGCACGTTCATAAACCGCAGAGCTGGGGTCATTAGACCCATTTCACAGCATAAAAAATGTGTGGCACTTGACTTGGGATTTATTCTGCTTGGTCACGTTGTTCTCCCGTTTGACAGACTAACAAGAAGTGCCTGCCTCATTGCTCGCTACCTGGTCTTGAATTCTAGTTTCATAGGCCGCGTAAGATATATGAATAGATTTGGTACCAGTCTACGTAGAGACAATCCAAGCTGTACGAGAAATCGATTTGTTCCTTTAATCTGTATTTCAATCTCCATAGTTAATTACCATCAAAGTGTGTTGTATGGATTATAATATACACATTGATTAATTTAGCATGTGGTGACATCTTGCCGTTAAAACAGAACATAAAACTGCAGACACGTGCATTTAAGAGGGCCCGTTTCAATGTCTAAAACTACAATACCACGTAATAGAAGAAGGTTAATTTCTTAACTATCAACCAAACCCGACAATGTGGGGCAAATATTTCTGACCTAATGTTATTGTTGGAGGGAAGAAAAAATATGCACAGTGCAAACAGAAATTTGACCGCGACCCGCTGGAAGTATTGACACAGCTCTTCATTGAATAAATTTACCGACAACCTGTTAGCTGTCACCAGTACATTTCCTCGTTGAATCACTATATAGAGGATTACCTCAACCGCCGTGGGACGTGTTTTATTAATCCCACCACCACCTCAAGGAGTACTGAAATACAAGGAATACATTTCTTGTAGACTACGCCCACTTGTATTGTGGCCAACAGAATCAACATAATAAAGAGCGCTTCTCGACCTGAACGGTGTACCGCCACAAAACCAGCCACGGAGGCATGCGGATTGTGGAGAATAACATCAGGGCTCTTAGGAATTCAAACAACTGCGGAA